TCATGATGATGATTGCTTTTCTGATTGTTTTTTTTTCTTTTTTAGCTTACTGTTTGATTTGAGATATGGGGTTTAAATGTTAATACCATGTGTTGAGAGACAAAGCTGGTTAATGATTTACCTTGAAAAGTATGCACTGGCCCTAGCAAGTGTGACTCAGTGCATTGAGCACCAGCCTGTGAACCAAAGGGTCACCTGTTCGATTCCCAGTCAAGGACACAGTTGGGTTGCTCACCAGGATTCCAATGTGGTGTGCAGAATACTCAACCACACACTGATATTTTGCTCACATTCTTTCTCTATCTCTTCCCCTCATTAAACATAAATAAATACAATCATTAAAAAAGTTTATACTGTGTACATTTAAGTTTTCTGAATTGATCAATAACATGGAAGTTATATTTGCAGGTCCTTCTTTTTTTCATTTTTTTTCAGGAAGCACATCATTAGTCATGATTTGAAGCAGATGTGTTGAGATACAATTTTTTAACATTAAACAAGTTCTGTTGAGAATGTTTCCAGACATGTAATATGAAAACTGAAGACATTTATTGAAGGAGATACAAGAATCACTTTACATAGGACAATGACACCTCATTCCCTTTCAAAGATAGCTCCTTGGGTCCTCACACAGTTTTCCCAGTTTTCATCATCTGCCCCATCCTATTTTCCTGAACATCATCAATCATGTGAAATCTCTTCCCTTTCAAAGGTGATTTTAGTTTTGGGAAAACTAGAAGCTGCATGGCCCAAATAATGAGCTATAGGGAAGCTGAGTGACCTAGGTTATTGGATGTTTCACCAAAACACTCTACATGAGACAAGGTGCATAAATGGTGCCCCTCTTGTGTTGAAGCTGCTATTCACCAGTTGCCCATTGTGGCAGCCTTCTGAGTCATCTAAATAGAATCCATGGAGAAATGGTGAAACTTATCAGAATATTTGATGCAGATTCTTTGCTCTACTCTCCCAGTCATTTTGAATGTGAAAGCCCCACAGTACACATGTGGAATCACCAGGGTCTACTGCCCCCACTGGTAGTACAGTGAAGTCATCATTGTTCACACATGCACATTCCAGTCCACTCTCCTTGGCTGTCAGGATACATTGATGAGGTGCACACCATTCTTGTTACTTTCTATTAACAATCATTAGATTTTCCTGGAAATCCTCTATTGTCACTAAAATAAAACCGTTTTTCATTCTGTTCTTCATCTTCACTATTGTAAATAATGCTACAGTGGATATAAATGTGTATATACCATTTGAAATGTATGTATTCATTTTGTTTGGATAACTCCCATGAATGGAATTGCTGTGTCCTGTGGTACTTGTTTCTAAATATTTGAAGAACATCCATCTTGCTTTCTGTAGTGGTTGCACCAATTTATTTATAATCTCACCAACAGTACACGAGGGTTCTCCTTTCTCCACATGATTGCAGGTAGTCATTGTTTGTTGATTTATTGATAATTGCCATGGTGAGAGGTGTGTTGTGGTATTTCATTATAGTCTCAATTTGCATTTTGTGATGATGAGAATGGTACTGAACATCTTTTCATATGTCTATTGGCCATCTTCATGTCCTCTTTATAGAAATATCTCTTCAGGTCCTCTGCCCATTTTTTTTGTATTGTATGTTATTTTTTTCATTTTTAATTTGTTATTTATTTTTATAAAGGAGAATGAAGGGAGAAAGAGAAAGAGAGAAACCTGGATAAGTGGTTGTCTCTTGTGCACCTCCAACTGGGAAACTGGCCCACACCCCAGGCATGTATCCTGATTGAGAATCAAACTGGCAATCCTTTGGTTCAGAGGCCAGCATTCAATCCATTGGGGACATGAGCCAATGTTCCCCATTATTTCATCAGATTGTTCTGTTGGTGTTGTGTAAGTTCCTTGTATACTTTGAATATTTAACATTATTTGTGGATATGTTTCCCTATTCAGTAGATTGGTTTGATTGTTTTCTTGATGATTTCTTTCACTATGCAGAAACTTATTTCTTTGTAGTCTTAGTTGTTTTTCTTTCTCCTCTTTGCTCTGCCTACCATATTATATCTAAAATACTTTTGTAAGTGTAGTGATAGAATTTGTCATCTGTCCTTTCTTCTAGTGTGTTCATGGTTTCAGGTCTTATATTTTAGGTTTTAATCCATTTTGAGTTTATTTTGTACATGTAATAAGAAAGTGGTCTACTTACAATGTTTTGTGTGTATTGGTTCAGTTTCTCTCAGACCATTTATGAAAGAATCTGTCTCATCTCATTGTGTATTCCTGATTTTTTTTCTTACACATTAATGACATATATTTGTCCATTTTAAAAATTGGATTACTTGTTTTATCACGATGTTTTGTAAAAGTCCTTCATATAACCTGGACATTAACTACTTATCAGATACAATTTGCAGAAATTTCCTTCCTTCTACAGGATATGATTGGAAACTACTGGTTGTTTGCTTTATGTGCAGGAGTTTTTATATTTGGTGTAATGCCATTTAATTCTTTCTGCTTCTTTAGATTTCCTTTGGGTGTTATAACAAAAAAAAATATCGTATAATCTCTTCTCTCAGTGAGTTAAGACCTAATCGCATTAGCACTGGCCTTAGTAGCTCAGTTTGTTGACCATCATTGCTCAAAGCCAAGGTCGCCAGTTTATTTCTGGGGAAATGAACATGCCTGGGTTGTGGGCCTGGCACCTGGTTGGGGACATAAACAGACAACTGATGAATATTTTTCTATTTTAATGTACTTTTAAATTTGAGTATTTTGTTTTCACCTTCTCATTTTCTGTTAGGCTTATTTTTACATTTTCTCTCTTTTCATTTTTATTTTGGTCATTCAAAGATATGCTGATATTAAGTAGTTGTCATATTTTTCTATGTTTCTATTTTCAGGTGGCTCTTTTCAATAATTTATCAAGTAATTAATATATTTCAATATAGGGAGTGTAAGTTTTTGTAGATATATTTTAGTTTTCTGATTTGAGGTTGGATTTCTTTTTCCTGTTTTGATATATTTGTTGAGGTCAGAATTGTAAAGAATTAGGATTTATAATCTTACTTCCTCCAGGTTAAGAACAAGGAAATAACACCCACCCCTAGTTCAGATTTTAATTTCTGTAAACACACGGGTTGTGTGTTTGTTTTTGTGTTTGTATGAGTTTCAAGTTTAATATACTGTGTTTCTTTTTCAAAGCCCAGGGTATCTTTTCATGCTTGATATTGGTCTTCATTCCCCTGGTTTCTATGGTGTTTTCAACTATTACCCTACTTTTTAGTGTACACTTTAATGTGTTAATCATGTGCTGTTATAGTGTGAACACTGTGTGTCCTCCAAAACAGAAACAAATATTTTGAAGATGCTTGAAAACAGTGAGATCATGGAACACACTGGACCCTCTTTGTGTCTAGAAACCAACTGGGAATGGGGAGTTTTCCTATCCTGTTTCCACTGTGTGCCATGGGATATGAGCACAGTGCTTGCCAAGTGTAAGGAACTGCTGATCCTCTTTTTGTGCCCTTTCCTCATTGTACAATACTTGGTCTTCTGCACACATTTAAAGTTTGTTTGAGTACTGAACAATGTAATTTCCTAAACAATTCCTTGTAACTTCAATGTACATTGACTTGCATTTAACACCTGTGAACCTTTATTTTGTGTCCTTTAGGTGTGTCACCTAGAGAAAACCAGGACTTCTTGCAAAGGTCAGGAATAGAAGATTTACTCTTTGAACCAACACTGGTAAGATATGAGAAGTGTGCCTTTGATACTGACAAGGAAGTGTGTGACAAGAAAGAAAGGATATTTAAATGGAGAGAACTAATTTTGAAAAATTATACATAAAAATCATTCTTATCTAAAGATGTGAAAACTATTAGAAATTTTGGAAAACTTCCACTTCAAAGCATTTACCTTTGGAGATCAATGTATTTCCAAATAGGAAGACTGAACACAATATTCTATATGTATGTATTTTTCTAAAGCACAGGTGGCAAACACAAGGCCTGCAGGCTGAAGATGGCCCTCTGCCTTCTTTAATCTTGCCCTGAACCTTGTTTCTACCAAGTAGCAGTGCCAAGATCCTTGCCCCTAGTTAAGAAATAGTTATATTTACACAATTCTAAAACTACATGCAGCCCACTAAAGGCAACTGTGGGGCTGATATGGCCCCAGGTTTAAATGAGTTTGGCACTCCTATTCTAAAGGCGGTCTCAAAAATCTAGGACATTTCATAGTTTGTGTTGTGGCTAATCATTTGAACTGTTTCAAATGCAGTTTGGGAATAAATTTTCAGTGAATGATTTGTACAATGTAGTCATTTAGAATGCATGTAGAAAGCTTAAATATGATCAATTTGACAATCGCTTTCCTCAGAAAATATTATACTTTTTGGAAATGTTTTTTTATTCCACTGTACAATATTTTTATCAACTTGGGAGTGATTTTTAATACAACCAACATGGTTTAATAGGGAATACAGAATGGTTATTTTGGAATAAGTGCATGTGGTTACTGAAGTTATGGATGTAACTAAAGCCCTTTCTGTGTTCAATGGTTCCCAGAGTACATGTGATGAGGACAAAAGTAATGAATGCAATAAACATTGGAAGAATTTTACCCACTCATCAACTCCTAATGTCTGTGTAAAGAGTCAGCTTCCAGACAGCCAGTATAAAGGGGGAAAAGTCTTTGACCAAATGTCAAATCACAATACTCATCAGGTATTTCCTATTGGGGGGAAGACAAACAAGAGAAGTAAATCTATCAAATGTTTAAAGCAATCTTCAAATAACACTGAAGAAATGAATATTGCTGTCATGGAGAAAGCTTACAAATATTTACCATACAGGAAATTCTTCAATCAAATTCCTAATCTAAATACAGTTAACAAAATATGTACCAGAAAAAAACGTAAGTGTGAAGATCCTGGTAAAACAGGTCATTGGTTTTCAGATCTTAATCTACATAAAAACATTTATCCTGGACCAAAGGCTGATATGTCTAAAGAATGTGGCAAAGCATTTTGGATTACCTCAGCCCTTACTAAGCATCACAGAATTCACACTGGACAGAAGCCTGATAAATGTAGAGTATGTGCTAATGCTTTCAGCCAGTCCTCAGATTTTAGTGAATGTCAGCAAATTCATAAAAGAGAGAAATTTTCCCAATATAGTGAAGGTGGAAGTGTCTTTACCAAGTCCTATACTCTTGCTGATCATGACAGATTTCATACTGGTGAAAAACCTTATATGGGTAGAGAATGTGGGAAAGCCCTTAGGTGGTTCTCACAACTTAAACAACATCAGACAATTCATACTGGAGAGAAGCCTTGTGAATGTACTCAATGTGGCAAAGCCTTTAAATGGAAATCACACCTTACTCAACACCAAAAAATTCATACTGGAGAGAAGCCTTATGAATATACTCAATGTGGCAAAGCCTTTAGTGATTCATCAACACTTACTAAAATTCAGAGAATTCATATTGGAGAGAAGCCTTATAAATGTACACAAAGTGGAAAAGCCTTTAGGCAACAGACAACACTTACTAACCATCAGAAAATTCATACTGGAGAGAAGACCTATGAGTGTACACAATGCGGAAAAGCCTTTAGGCAACAAACAACACTTACTAAACATCAGAGAATTCACACTGGAGAGAAGCCTTATGAATGTACTCAATGTGGTAAAGCATTTAGGCAGCACTCAACACTTACTAAACATCAGAGAATTCACACTGGAGAGAAGCCTTATGAATGTACTCAATGTGGCAGACAGCATTTAGCCAGACATTTAGACAGAACTCATATCTCACTGGACATCTGAAAATTCACACTGGGGAGAAGCCTCATGAATGTACTCAATGTGGGAAAGCCTTTAGACTCCAGTTAGCACTTACTCGACATCAGATAATTCATACTAGATAGAAGCCTTGTATATGTGAAATATGTGGTAAAGCCTTTAACTTGTCCTGTAACTTTTCTCAGCACCAGAAAATTCATATAAGAAAGCATCCTTGTAAATGTTGAGCATGTGAAAAATCATTTTTGCAGCCCTCAAACTTTACTCAATATCAAGTAACTCACACCAAAGGAATGCCTTGGATATGTATCTTATGTGGTAAATGCTTTAACCAGTCCTCAATGTTCATTCATCACAAAATATATTTATACTCTTAAAAATCCTTTTAAATGTACATGATGGGATAAAGACTTTAACCACTTCCAACCCTTACTAAACTTCTGAGAATTCATGCTGGATACAAGGCTTATACATGTGGACTAGGTGACAAAACTTTTTGACATCAGGTCATATGTACTGGAGAAAAATTGTATGAAAGTCATGTATATAACAAGTGTTTTAGATATTAGATATTAGAGCTGCCTTAACCAATATGAGATACATCTATCTTCAGAAAAACTGTTCAAATGTAGAGACAATGGCAAGGTTTTAATCCATATGCAAAACATACCCAACATTTTAAAGCACTTTTTTTTAACATTCACTTTTTATTTGGCATATGAAAATTCATACTAAAAAAAGTCATTAAAATGGAGATTGTAGAAAATGTTATAGATGGACCTACAGACTCATTATATATCAGGGAAAGCACAGTGGGGTGGAATTCTACATTCATAAAGAATGAAAGACTTTTGTGAAATTACACAGTTCCCATTACCCCAAAGAATTTATATGTGAAAGGGGCTTGAAAAATGTAAAAATTCAGGAAAGTATGTAATTGAAGAAGAGGCTGAAAATATCATAATTCAGAGGACAGTTAAAGATAGGTTTCAGGTATTGCTCCAAATCAGAATATTACTATAGAGAATCACCCAAAGTTTTAAGAACACCACTCAGTACTCTTCAGTGTGCTTCACAATGTCAAGGGGATGGGTGTCTAGGTATGTATAATTACTCAGAATGTAACCTATAGTATATTGACAGCATTTGAAATATTTTCAGAAGGAAATGTTAAACTGATTCCAGTCTTTTATCAGTTGATGCTACTGTTTTTATTCCTGGTGTATGTGAAATCACTGGATTGATTGTTGGTTCCTTAAAAACCTGTGAACTCTTGTATAATAGGTGAACATCACTCACAATTACATTTGCATAGAAGACTGAGGATGCTATACTGCACAATGTATGAAAAAAATCTAAATGAAGTTTCTGTTTTTAGGTTACTCTGAATTTTGTTGTATGTTACAGTGGAAGTCATGCTATTTTACATTATAGTAAGACATAGAAATGATATAAATCTTAACTAGGTTTCTAAACCTTCCTTTAAAGAAAATGTCAGTTTGTTAAAATCCTGATGTATGTTCATCTTATTCAGAGTTAAATATTAGTTGATTTGATTGGAATAAAAAAGCCATCAGTGCAATGTGTGGGAAAATGGACCCTTTATCCCTCGGTGCATAACATATTTTTCCATCCATGTTTGCTCAACTGTTAGTCTCCAGTTAGAAAACCAAAGAAAAGTGCACTATAGGATCATAATATACAAGAACAGTAACACTCCCCAAACGTTTCCAATGTGTGTGTTGAGAAATGGTAACACATTTTACTGTAATTATTTAGATGATGTGTGAATGTAGATTTTCATTAATAAAGGTGAATGTATTGTAATGTGCTTACATCTTTAATGTTACTCAAGTTTACATGTAACAATATGTTACTTGGAAATGTAGTGCAAATACAGCATGAGAAGTTTCTTTCCATGGCATCCTTAGACATTAAATAATATGAAAATTTTCCTATATTTGTTGTATTGTATTGTATCTAATGGAGCATTCTAATAGTTACAATAGATAATATGAATTTTTTTTAAGAGTTCAGCAAAGCTGCTTTATAATATTGCTGTGGTGGCATTTATTTTCTGTAACCAGGAGCCTTGAACTGCCACAAACTCTCCTGCAATTTCACGCTGTAGACAACATCTCACAGAGTCACAGCTAAATGTACCTTCTTGACCTGACTTACTAGCAGCTACTCTGAGCAACAATCTTCCTTCCACCTCAGGCCTTTCACCAGGCATAACCATTAGATAAGATGTCTTCACATTTTACCAAGATCTCAGGTTTTTGGTTCATTTTGAACAATATAAACTTAGCTCAAGCACTCCAAAATCCTCTGTACATGAACACTAATGAAATCACATGTCCTGGGGTCTCCTACAGTCTCCCAGCATCGCCTCATCCTCCCATGTAGCTGCTGCAGGCCTGCTGTGTACATCTCCCAGGGTCTGTGGGGGATAAAATTATCTGTTTCAATTTGTTCTGTTGTGTCTTATATAACTGCTGCTCCCTATCCAGAACCAGGGTGCGCTGCTTAATAAATGCTAATTTTATTTTAAAAATATTTTATTTATGTATTTATTTATGGAGAGAAAGAAAGGGAGGGAGTAAGAGAGGGAGAGAAACATCAATGTGTGGTTGCCTCACACACAGTGCCACTGGGGACCTGGCCCACAGCCCAGTCATGTGCACTGACTGGGAATCAAACTGGTCACCCTTTGGTTCACAGCCCATGCTCCACCCACTGAGATACACCAGCAAGGCAAATCCTAATTTTCAAAAGTGGACACAACTGTTCTTCAACAACACCAGAATATTTTTTAAAGTGCAAACAAGTGTAATTTCAGAGTTCTGATGAATAATTTTTAATTGCTTCAATAAAGTTTATTTTTTATAGTCACATTAGAAGCAATATATCTTGACTATTCTATACTGTTACCATTTCAAAGGTGACAGGAATCAAAGACTTTAGATCTGGATTTAATTTTAGAATCTAGGTGTGTAATAGTGACATCTGCTTGCTTAATGAATATTCATGATCTCCTTTCTTTACTGAAAAATGTAAATGCTCATTTTTTATTCCTTTTTTATTTTTTATTCTTGTTCAAGCACATTTGTCTACATTTATTCCCTACCTCTCTCTGCTGATTTCTCCCTCCTTCACTTTTGTCCATGTGTCCTTTGTAGTTGTTCCTGAAAACTCTTCTACTTTTCCTTCTCATTATCCCCTCCAAAGTCCCCTCTGGTTACTGTCAGATTGTTATTAATTTCAATGTATCTCAGTTCTGTTCTTTCAGTTATGACAAGAGTTTTCATCTTGATGTTGGCCACTTCCCTGTGTTCGTTTCTATATATAAGGTAGAGCTGCTGTGTTGCTTGGCCTTTGTAGGGTGGACTTATGTAGTGAGTGTTCTATAGAATCCACTGGCACAGGCTCCCTTTTCACCTGAGCTAGGGGCTCCAGTTGTACCCTACTTTCCATTGTGAGCAGTGTGCACACTGTCATTGCAATTTGGCCTTGATTTCTTTTGTACTTTAATGGGATGGATTTACACCTGGACCTGTGTAATGTAAGGACTAGCCCTGTCAACCAATCTCCAACCCTGAGTACTGTGGCACATCAGCTGCTCAGGGATCGATCCCTCAAAGGTGGACTTCAGTGTGATTCTAATTAGCAGTGAGGCTGCTTATTCAGTTTGTTATTTGTGGAGGTTGTTGGTGGTGCTTTGACATGAACTGAAGTTGTCTGCCAGATGTCCCAACTTTGGGACGTCCACCTGTGCTGCCACTTCAGACCTGCTAGGTGACTTGCTATGAGATACAAATAGATCTTCAGGTGGCTAATACTTTAGTTTGTCTTAGAGGTGCCCAGGAGAAGCCAAGCTGGGAAAAATGGCCTGCTGCTGATGACATCAGGCCAAAGGTCACATTGCAGGTGTTACAGAATATGTAGGCATCATGTGGCCTATTTGATATATATTAGAAAAGTCTAAAGCAGGATAAGCACAGACCATATCTATGGAAAGACTACTGGAAACAGCTTGGATGGGTCTGTGGTTGTGGAGGGGCAAGATATCAGGGAATCAGCAGAGCAAAGCTAACAGCTGTAGTCAGGTGGTAGGAGACTCAGGTATGGTGCCCGTCCTACTGAGTCTTGTGGTGGTGTGGGGTGTTCTTGCAGAAAAGGAACAATTACCCTTGACAGCACATCTGTCTGAGATAAAGTTGCCCCTCCAGTTCTCACCATGATGCCAAACCATTGATTTCCTGTCTGCATGTCCAACTACTGCCATGATGCTGAAACTCAGAGAGACTGAGTCCTTGTAATTCCATTCACAGGCCATTTAAGGGGAACACAGGAGACTCCATGTACCTGCCATGTCCCTCCAGCAAACCCTCACTGGTTTCTATGGGAAGATGGTATGGGGATTTGTCTTCCCACCAGTGGCAACGGGGGGCAGGGGGTTCAGGTTTCATGCTGGGAACCATCAATCTTTATAGGGAACTTCTGCAGCCAAGTTCTACCAGGTTTTAACCACTACACAAATTTGGTGATGTGGGACTTACAATTTTCATATCTTTGCCCCTTCTACCCATTTCTATGTGCCTTTGTCTATGCTGATTTGTGGGACTTCTATTGAGCCAGGTCAGATGGTTTCAGAATGATGGTTATTGTGTAGTTTAGTTGTAATTCTGATATGCTCATGGAGCATTTGAGTATAGGGTTTTTCTTTTCTGTAATCTTGATCACAACCAGTAGGCTTTCTTATTTTAGATTACATGTATATGATATCTGAGAGTGATTATTCATTTTTTTCTACCTCTATTTCACTTAGCAGAATGTCCTCATAGTTCATGTATGTTGGTACAAAAGGCAACATTTTTTAGTCTGGAATCACTAAATAATAAATATTACATTCTAATTACTTTTCTATAAAATATTATTTTCTATTCATCTGTGGTTAAACATTTTGGTTCTTTTTGTGTAATTGCTTTTGTAAAGAATGCTCCAATGAACATTAATATGCAGGTTTCTCTTTTAGGTAGCGATTCAACTTTTTGGATATATTTCCTGATTGGGATGTCTTCATGAAATGGTTTCCTTTCTAAAGTAATCTGTGGGAACTTTG